AAAGATCGCTGAAGGTAAAAGTCTGTCTGATAATCATTTGGAAAACTAATATACATTAACCAAACTTCTGGCCCATAAGTGGTGTTGCGCATATTCAGAGCAGCATTGTGTCTAACAAAGGAGGCTACTAGATCTTCATCATCTAACTGAAACATGGTGTTGACCACAGTATCTTTGACGAAGGAATTGGCGAATGCAAACATACCGATACTGAGGGGATGATATGAAGATTCAGTGGTGTGCAACCCAACTTCATGGAGGAGGCCGTCAATGGTGTCGCGGAGACCCTCCCGGAGGTGCAGCGGAACGAATCTGCTCACTTCAGCAATGGCCAGAAAACTGTTGTTGAGGGGGGAAATGGGGTTGACACCCATGTCCGCCCGCACCGTTCGGTCAGCAGGACCCGGCTCAACAGACCATCCCGCCGACAGGAAAGGGATGGGGTTCACCGGGTAGTTGGCCATGGCTACGGTGGTGGCAGCGGCGGGGTAAGCGGTGAGCGAGGCGAGCGTGGAGGTTAGAGCAGAGTGCTCGGCACCATTGGGAAGCAGGGCGGGCTGGGAGGTGGAATGTGAGGCGTCTGGGGTGGACGGGAGAATTTTTGGTCGCCATTGCCACCGCTGGGCTCAGCGGCGCCGCCAACAGGAGCGAGGCAGATGGTAGTATATACCACAACCAAAACAATAATAAAAGTAAGAAAATTATACAAGTATCAATCTAAATCATACAAGTAGGAATTTGTTTCTTTTAGAAAGAATATAAGAACAAGAGGCTCACCACGGTGGTGCTGGCGACGAGACCGGCGCGGGCGATCGACGGCGGTGAGGACGGGGACAGGACAGGACAGACCGCCAAACCTATACAAATCTTGAGGGAAATGGAGTTTGGACAAGGAGCTTCGAGAGGAGAAAGCTTATAAAGTGTGGCTTGGGCATTTCATCGAACACCTCATGTGCATAGAAGGTGAGCTAGAGCACCACAAAGCTCTCCCACGGCTGGCCAAAAAAACAGAGCAGTGCACTGCTCTGCTCGTGGGCAATGTATATATAGGCCTCTATTTGGTCCCGGTTCCAGACACAAACCGGGACTAAAGGTTGTGGGCCAGGAGCGAGGCCCATTGGTCCCGGTTCGTGTCTGGAACCGGGACCAAATGTGTCAAACAAACCGGGACCATTAGCCCCCGAGGCCCGGCCGGCCCCCTGGCCTCACGAATCAGGACTAATGCTCCCATTAGTCCCGGTTTGTATGAGAACCGGGATTAATGCCCTCTTTAGGCCTGGACCAAGGCCCTGTTTTCTACTAGTGCGATCATTGAATCTTGTCCAATATCTCTCTAACATTCAGAAATGAGTTTGTCCTCATCCTTTGTGTATGCCTTTGTCCAAATGCTTGGCGCTTCTTGTTCGCATTGGCTTGGGAGGTGAGCTCATCAGCAAACAAAGGCTCCTCCTCGATGTCCACTTCATCTTCTTCTTCTAGGACGTAGTCATCCGTGAACTCGCGACCTTGCGGGAACATGCTGTCCATGCCACCTTGGGCTTGCGTGAAGGAGTCAGCCATGCCACCATGGCCTTGCGCGAAGGTGCCAGCCATGCCACCATGGCCTTGCGCGAAGGGGTCGGCCGTGCCCTCGTGGCCTGCCATGAAGGTGCCGCGGCCATCTAGGCTTTGGGTCTCATCGGTATCATAGGCCGCGCCATCCATGCCGCCCTTGAAAATGGTGTTCTCCATGATGAAACGATTGGCCGTGTCATTGTCCGTGGTCGATGGCATTGTGTCAAACAAGTTGGGGGCGTCGGGACTTATGTTGATACGTCTCCAATGTATCTATAATTTTTGATTGTTTTATGGTATTATATTATCAATATTGTATGCTTTATATGTCATTTTATATTATTTTTAGGAACTAACCTATTAACTCAGTGCGCAGTGCCAATTCCTATTTTCTGCATGTTATTGGTTTTTTCAGAAAATATATACCAAACAAAGCCCAAACATGATGAATTTTTTTGATGATTTTTTAGACAAAAGGAGACCCTGGAAGCTCCGGGAGGAGACCAGACGCTGCACAAGGGAGCGATAGGACAGGTGGGCGCGCCCGGGGAGTAGGGCTCGCCATGGTGCCTTATTGCCCCCCTTGGTTCCATTTGACCTAATCCCAACGCTATAAATTCCCATATATCCATGAACCCTCAGGAGAGGTCCCGAAACAATTCTTTCGCTGCCAAAAGCCTCTGTTCTTTCACGATCCCATCCGGAGCCTTTTTTGGTACTCTGCCGGATGGGGAATCCATCACGGAGGCCATCTTCATCAACCTTGCCGCCTTCACGATGATGTGTGAGTAGTTTGTACAGGATCTACTGGTCCATAGCAGTAGCTAGATGACTCGTCGTTGATCATCACCATCGTTGGAAAGCACTCGGCGGTGTTAGACGTATAATTATGTTTAAGTTAGAGATTAGGAGTTAGAGATAGGATTGGTTTAAACCATGTACGACTTGTCCCCTACTCCAAGTCTCTTCACATATTGTACTCTATATATATCCCACACCTGGGTCAGATAAATACGACAATACAATATTCAGTCATCATACAATTTCCACATGGTATTAGAGCGGTTAGTCTCACGACGCCGATCCTAAGACCTTTCATATCTTCTGCAGCGCGCCGCCCCCGGGGAGATTAGTCTCCTCTCCCCGGGGGCGCGGCACCCGATGGATCAATCATCTGACCGGTTCTTCCCTAGATTAGATTAGATCCAGTTTTCGAATTCTCAATTTCCATCCAGTAGATAGATACTACTATTTTCTTTAGTTATAAACCCTAGAAATCGGTGCTTCAGCGGTGGGCAAGTCGCATCATCCAGCCGGTCGCTACGGACTTCGTTCGAGAGGAGCAATCGGAAATCCACGCGCGGGCTGATTCTGCATATCCGTGCAGCCCATGGACATCCAAGGCGCATGCAAGACATGGGGCAACACCGCACGGGGGGAAATTTACTCCGTGATCTGTACATCCATGCAGCCATGGACATGCAAGGCGCATCCAGGAGCTCGAGCCTCGCGTGGCTACCAGCCTCCATCGACTCATGCGACACGCGACCTCGACGCTACACCCGCGCGCACGTTGTACCCGACGGCTCCAGCGCAGGCTTCTCGGAGGCTGCATATCGTCTACTCGCCATCGACCAGATCGACACCGTCTCCATCATCCTGCCCCAAAAGCTGCTGTCCGATCCAATCGGCCACCCGCGCATGAGCAGAACAACGGCCGGGCGACTTCGACTGGCGAGAGGCCCAGCGCATGGCACGGATCACGGGAGGGCTGTTTCCCCAACTCCATCGACTCCAGCGCGCGCCCTACGACCACGACCCACGACACCAAGATGAACACCAAGCCGGCCTGCACCTGCCTACCACGCCTGTGCACCAGTCATTCTTCATCAAGCTATCGATCTGCAACTACACCGACACCTCCCGTGCCGAACGACATCGAGCTGTACGGCTACACCAGGCTACGAGCCAACACACCGCTGCAGTGTCAACGCCAACACTTCATTGCCAAGGTCTTCATCAACGTGATCTTCACCAACATCATCGTCAGACACACCACCCGCCGCCTCGTCCACAAGATGGACAATTAGCGTCCTCTGACAGATTTTTCTGCAAGACGCGACCTCGACGACGGCAATGACCGTGTCACGACGACGGCATCGACCGCGTCATCCACGACGGCACGACCGCGTCATCGACACGACGTCACTACAGTGACGATCCTACACGGCTACACGGTTCTGGCAAAACCAATGTGTGCTCGATGGGCTTCCTTCGGTCTTGGCAAAACCGATGGACTCATCGCCGACGGCACCCTCTGACATCGCAAGGTGCACTGTCCATGTCTGCAGCTCCGTCATAGCGCATTTTTTTGCGCCTCCGGCTTTGTGCGGTTTCATCATCCACGATGACTACACCATCGACCACGACTACCTCGACCACGGCTACATCACCATGATCAGCTACCTCGGCGTTGACATTAATGGCTACGTCTATAGCAACTCATCGGCAACAACTCCAGTCAACAGCGTCCGCGTCGTCACTAGCGTCCACGCCACTCCCGCTGTGACTGCGGGAGGGAATAGAGAAGGCAGGAAGGCACCAGAAGGGGACGCAGTAACCGCCCTAGGTGGCGACCCATCAGAGACGCAGTTGATGATGGCGTGGCGGAGAAGACGACGGGAGCACAAGAGTTTAAATTCAGTCGCCATCGTCCGCTTCACTCCCGCTACGACTGAGGGGAAATGTTAGAAGTATAATTATGTTTAAGTTAGAGATTAGGAGTTAGAGATAGGATTGGTTTAAACCATGTACGACTTGTCCCCTACTCCAAATCTCTTCACATATTGTACTCTATATATATCCCACACCTGGGTCAGATCAATATAACAATACAATATTCAGTCATCATACAATTTCCACAGGCGGCTCGGCGGGCGCGGACTAGGCCAACATGGACATCGTGCATCACGGAGACCTAGCCGCCGCATACCAGCTAGAACAGAGGGAGAAGAGATCTGGAAAAGAAAAACCACTAGAGATCGTGTTCATCTCGTTTTTCACATTTGATTCGTCACATCGTCACCACATGGAGATCCTGATTCAAGGCTAGCTGCCTCTGAGTGTTGATGGAGAAAAGAATCCCACTGAAAAATGGTCACTTCCACATCCCTCTCATTGGGTCCACCGGTAAAGAGAAAAGAAAAAGAATGATCGTGCCAATGACGAAAGCAAGTACAGATCAAGAATAACGGCATGCAATTATATCTTGCACAGTTGGATGGATCGAGGAGGGAATCAAACCTAGCTGTGGGTTGCCGCGCGAGCACGCGATGCCACCAAAAATATTCTCATCCATGGCTATTTATACGCATATACATGGGCTGCATGCATCTAATGGCTATAGCATGATGCTACTAGACTACATCTAAGATAGACCTAACACGATGATCACCTTCCCGGGTAAAAATACCCGCCCTACCTATCTCATCAGGCACTTCTGCAACGCTGAGGAGGGCATCCAAAATTACGTCCGCAACCTCACCTCCTCCTACATCGACACCAGGAATGAGTCGTCCATGGTGTCCGCCTCCGTCATCATGTTCCTCCTCGTCGGCCTCTCCTTCAACCTCAACCTCTTCAGTCGCTTCTCCGACGTCAGCGCCACCCTCGACCCCAAGGTCCGCATCTTCCTCTCCTCCGCATTCTCCCTCTTCCTGCCTGTCATGTCCTACCTCTTCTCCGAAGCCAAGAACGCCAGCTCCGATGCTGCGGACAACGGCGGCGACCTCTCGCTACAGGCCGGTATGATCCTCCTGTGGATGCTGCTGGTTGAGCTCCTCCGCAAGAAGGTGGACGAGGTCCGCATGCACGGCTACTCTAGCAGCATCCAGCGTGCCGGCCGTGTGGTCTGGCTGGGCAGCCTCGTCTTCTTCAACATCCGGAGAGCCGGCCGGAAGGCCCTCTTCGGCGTCCTTTGGGTGCTCTGCGCAACAAAGGTGGTGCAGAGGATCGCCTTCACTGAGATTGGCAAGCGATCCTATGCCTACGGCAAAAACACGCGCCTCATCACCTCCTACATGTCACAAATGCTGCAGAAAAATGGATCAAAGGTACTGATCTGCATACGCCAACTATTAAGGGTTCATCCAAAATCCTGAACTCCTGTAGAAATATGCACAATGTATACATTAAGGGTTTCTTAAGTCTCAGTCGAGTCAGTTTCTTAAGTCTCTTTTGAGTGAGAGAAATACAACTTCAATATAGTGAAAAGTGCAGTTTACATTTTTCCCTACCATTTGCACTTTTCTAGAAATCGATTGAGATAAAAAAAAAATAATCCCAGTCAATTGAGACTTAGCAATAGAGTGCAATTTTTGGCTACCGGGCTTCATGGAAAACCGTATTTCCAAAGGGCATACTCAATGCTGAAAGCAATCACACAAAGTAGTATCTGGGGAAGTGAATTTCATGACAGATTTACCCTTGCATAATAATTCTGCAAGGAGGCTCGTTCAAACCAGGATTTGAAGGTCCCAATTGGAGGGACTACCAATCTGACAGGCCCGCCATCTGAAAATTGTATTTCAAAGTTATTTTTTTAAAACAGTTATGTGAAAACTTATACGTCTTCACTACAAATCAATAAATTTCCATTTTAAAAATATAACCATTTGAAGCTGCAAAATAAAAAAGGGCCCAAAAGCAAAAAACGATAAGCCCATTTTTATATACAAATTTGTATTTTCTGTGTACACCACGTATGAAAGTATTTTTTTTTGCGTGTGCACTTATGAAAGTATATTGTTACGAAAATTTGCATATGCATTGTATACATGTATTGAACACATTTTGTAAAAAAATTGGGATGTAGAAATACAGTATATGGCCTCGCTAGTTCCCTTCACTCCTGTCCTCTACGCACATTTGAATGCTCATTCGTGACTCGACTTTTCAACCTCAGGACCAGCAAGAGCAACACCAATATTGTTCCCCATCGACCCACATCGATGTGGATTCCTCGGTGGTGACTGATGTAAACCATGGTGGTGGAGGTGAGGCCATGTTGAAGAGGTGCAAGTTCGTCGTCATGGGTGAAGAGGACTTGGTTATACAACCTAGTCCAGACGGCTACAAGTTGAAGGATGTCTCCCCAGACGATAATGTCGCCACCGTTGGAAAAATTTGGTGTAATGCATGCAGCAACCTCGATCAAGGCCCGCGGCTTAAGAGGTTGTGCTTGTCCTTCGGGCTCTTCAAGCTTCTGCGGCGTAGGTTCGAGCACCTCCCGCCAGTGATTGATGTGGATGCCGAGACTCGTGAGTGTCGTGGCTTACTCTTCAATGGTGTTTACAACGAAAGGACAGAGGATGCGGCGGAGGCACTCTTCCAGATGATGAATGATGAGGTGAACTTCCTCTGCGAGTACTACCACTCTGTCATCCCCGTCGTCCTTGCAAGCCCTTTCTTCTTCCTTGCCAACTACATCCTACTACCTGTGGTGGTGTCCGGCCTCTGCATCATGACCATCATCCTCTCTAGCTTTGGCAATGTGCTCTTTGCCTTATCTAGCATCAGGGCGGATAACTTTGCCATCTCGGCTGGGGTCATTAACACCACCATGTGTCTTCTCATCGAGGCCTTCTATTGGCCCCCCGCTTTCTTCACAGCAGTCAACTTTTTCATCACCTTCTTCCTCTTGGTGATCTTCTTCTTCGAGGAGATATGGGAGTTCATCATCTTCCTGTTCTCAGACTGGTTCATGGTATCATTGCTATGCCACTACGTGACAAAGCCCCAATGGCAGAGTAGCCCAATGTACAGTGGCGCTGTTCGTCGCATCCTATGGGTACAGAGCAAGCTGAGTCGCCCTATTCTTAACTTCAAGCAGTTCTCAATGCTAAACATCCGGTGGCCACTCGTCCTCAGCATGCCATCCATGTTCTCTCTACTAGTGCAAACGGTGCCTGTGCCAAAAAAAGCAAAGCATTCCATCGTTGAATCCCTCGTGGCACACATCCGTGATGGTCGTGAAACCCCTCTCAACAATGGCAAGTCTGCACTTGTGGGCTGGCCAGATGATCTCATGCCAGCCTGCAGGAGCAACAGCGTCGCGGAGGTCATTCTCACTTGGCACGTCGCCACCTCCATCATGGAGGCCAAGTGCCCTCCGCAGGATGGTAGACAGAGCAAGGACTCGCACACTGTGGCGACGAGCCTATCCAGGTACTGTGCCTACCTAGTGGCCTTTCACCCGACGCTCCTCCCTGAAAACCCCGACAATACGGAGCGTGTCTTCGAGGCAGCCAAGGCGGAACTCAAGGGCGTGCTCGGCTGTGCCAGCTACTACCTCTCGTGGTGGCACACTAGGGTCGATAAGATCATGCAGGCGGTGGTAGAGGTGGCCACAATGACAGAATGGAAGGACGGCGAGGTGGTATTCAATGCTGCCAAGCTGGGGATACTGTTGAAGGAAGAAGCTATGAGGGACAATGGCGTCGGGTGGGAGCAGACATGGAAGCTGCTTGCCGACGTCTGGACTGAGCTCGTCGTTTACCTCGCACCGTCAAACCAAGAGGAGCGTGTGATGGGGCATGAGAGCGTGCTGGTGCAAGGTGGAGAGTTCATCACCATGCTTTGGGCTTTGACCACACACACTGGCATAACGCGCCCGGAGAAGTAGTATGGCTGACTTTGTTTTTCTTTCTTTTTTCTTGTGGAAAGTATGTCTGACCTTGTTGCACATGTGTTTTGGATTATGTGACTTCGTGTTTGTTATTGATGTCTTCTACATACTGAAGTTTTTTTAAATTGATTATTTTACTATAGCACTAAGGCCATCTATCCCCCTCAAACATCCGAGGATGTCAGTGACCGAATAGGAGAGGTAAGAAAAAAAAAGGTTACCCGACCGGATCCCTTATATCATCCCTATACGTCTGGGTTGTCCGCGAACCCTCATATTGAGATCAAATGTAGTGAGGATACGAGGGCTCGCGGATGCGACCGAACGCGTCTGATCAGTCCGCCATGTAGGATGCGGCCCACCCGGACCATCTTTTCTCTTTCTTTATTCTTTCTTCTCTTCTTTTCACCTCCACCAATCACATGCAAGTGAGCATATATATAAGGAAGTAAACGAGGGGTATAACTGCATGGAAGGATAAATAGGGGCCCTTTGTGGGACAATATTTGTTCAGTGTGGTTGTAGAGGCTCTAACTAGCATAGTAGCCCGCGCAATGCACGTCGGGTAACATTTTTAATGTCTTCAAATTCTTTGCAGTACAAGTATTATATCATTATCTAATGGCATGCCAAGAATAACAATTCACAGTACAATTGGAGTGTAACATATTAAGTATTCCATTCCATGCCACACGCATTATTATGTACTATACATATTCAAGTACTGTTAAAGTAGGTACATACTCCCTCCCTCAAAATAAATGTCTTGACCTTAATACAATTTTACACTAGAGTTAGTATAAAGTTGAGACACTTATTTTGGGACGGAGGAAGTATACGCGAGTGAATGATACGGATCATGAACACTTGATCGATCAGGTAAACAGCTAAACAACCTCAGCAATCAGTGTGCAGTGCACCATAAGATAAGAATTAAGCTAAGCACACACCATATCTATATCTATATCTATACCTATTATTAAAGGGAGGTAATATTCTTGGTTTCGTCCTGCTTTTTTGGTCCTGCTTCAATTAACTACACGTACGCTATTTGGTTTCATTGCTTGCCACCTGTTTTGGCGCAGCAGAGGAAGCCCACTTGGCGGCGCAGTGTGGCTTAGGTCTGGAGAGCTGGCAAAAAATAAAATTGGCGATGGGAGGGTTTGCTCTTATAACCTGCCAACAGGCCGCATACAGTTTGCCCAACTAACCCAGCTACAGATATGAGAGGATTTTTTTCCTCCGTTACAACGCACGGGCCTTTTTTGCTAATTACTCCAATAAAAAGTACTGGAGTACCAGCCTTGAGGGAGAGACTCCCCTCAGGTGTTCCCTGCGCGCCGGTTGTTTCACAGGGGCCTCATGCGGCAAGCTACTTGTTGGTCTCGAGGCCATCCGATCTTCATGGACGTGTCGCAATCGGATAGTTTGTCAGGTGATCCATGACGTAGGGGCAGCGGGCACGGATGGGGCCACCTCTCTGTGGAGGCTTCCGCCGTGCTAATGTGCGTCCTCACGCGCACTGCCCCACGCGTGAAGGGTGAGGCCAGGTCACCTTGTCAGCGTCCTTCACCCTGTGCGGGCTGCATCGCTCAAGCGAGCATGCGAAGTGCAAGGCCGGGTTACCTTGTCAGCATCCTTCACCTTGCGGGGGTGCTTCGCTCGGGCGAGCATGCGAAGGGCGAGGCCAGGTCGCCTTGCCAACGTCTTTCACCCTACAGGGGCTGCTTCGCTCAGTCGGCATCGCTCATTTGCCGCTCCGCATTTCAGACCGCGCAAGCTGGGTAGACCAAGGGGTTGCTCGACACGTGTTGAGTCTTTCACCCAGGTCCAGAACACTGTGTGTGTCTCAGCGATTAACAGACCATGGCCGTTCACGCATGGCCGTGCGGCCGGGCACCCTATGCGTGCCTGTTCTGCGCAATCGTGTGCTCGGGTGTTATCGGCTGGTTGTCGGTGTGGGTAGGCTCACGGCTCGTTAGGAACAGTTGGTTCTCTGTTTGGTCCTCTCTGTCATTGGGCTTGCCATTTTGCATTTCTGGTTAGTTTGTCTTTGTGCGTTTGCTGACGGGAGGCGGTTCGATGCGGTGGGTCTTATGGCAGATCAACAATGCCTTTGCCTCACACGCTGCTCTCTCTTTGTTGCTGCGGGCTTCTTCCAGCTTTGTTGCCGTTCATGATCTCCTTTGCATCAATGGCTGTCGGCTCCCCATCAACGGCTGCCTTTTTCATTTTTCCAACACTTTACAAGAAATTTATTATCATAGTATTTTTTTTTCATTTCGGGACTAGGCATCCCTATTACCAACCACACCCTCATGCAATGACAAGTGAATAAACACTCATCATGAGAACAAAATACTTAGTTTGAGAAATATTGGCCACCTCCTGGCTCCTGCCCCTTCATTAGCAGTACACGCATACAAAACTAAAATTCATTTTAAAAATTAGAGTTGGCACATACAAATTTATTTGAAACGACATGGAAATATCGCATATAGATATGTATGATGGACTCATATGACACAACTTTGGGTTTTAAGAGTTGGATGCACAAGTAGCATTCCCGCTTAGTACAAGTGAAGGCTAGAAAATAGATTTAGAAGCGACTAACCAAAAAACGAAAATGTTCACAAACGTGCATTAAACATAATGAACACTAAATAATGCACCACAAGTAGGATATAACTTTATTGCATAACTATTGAATTTACGTACATGCATAGAGAATCACAAACCTTAACACCAATATTCTTACTTAAGCATAATTACTCACCAACAAGACCCACATATCACTATCTCCATATTGGAAAACTATTGCAAAGAACCAAATTTATAATATCCAATTATCTTCATGGAATTTTTTGTTATACCCCCCTGGATATCTATCACTTTGGGACTAAATTTACATCTCGTGCAAATTACCATTATTATTCTTAACTCTCAAAAAGATCTAAGTGAAGCACAAGAGCATAAGTATTTCTTCAAAAGTTTCCAACTCTCAAAATAATGTAATTGAAGCATGAGAGTTTATTTCTTTAAAATTTTCCAACTCTCAAAATAATATAAGTGAAGCATGAGAGTTTATTTCTTTAAAATTTTCCAACTCTCAAAATATTATAAGTGAAGCATGAGAGCATATTTCTTTAAAATATAACCACATCAGTGCTAAAAAAGATATAAGTGAAGCACTAGACCAACTGCCTAGCTCAAAAGATTTAACTGAAGCACATAGAATATTCTAGCAAATCATGATATGCGTGTGGCTCTCACAAACAAGTGTGTACAACAAGGATGATTGTGACAAACTAAAAAGCAAAACAAAGCAAAGACTCATATAATACAAGATGCTCCAAGCAAAACTCATGATATGTGACGAATAAAAATATAGCTCCAAGTAAAATTACCGATGATCGTTAGAAGACAGAGGGGATGCCCCAGAGACATCCCCAAGCTTATTTGCTTCAGAGTCCTTGAATATTACCTTGGGGTACCTCAGGCATCCCCAAGCATAGGCTCTTGCCACTCCTTATTCCTTCAACCATCGTGATCTCATCCAAAACATGAATACTTCAATCACACAAAACTTAACAAAAACTGTCATGAGATTCGTTAGTATAATAAAGAAAATCACCACTTTAAGTATTGTTGCAAACCCATTCATATTTTATTATTGCACTAAACCTACTGTATTCTAACTTTACCATGACTTATACCCCCGATAAAATTCATAGATTCATTAAAATAAGCACATAATGCAACGAAAACATAATATGTCAAAAACGGAATAGCCTGTAGTAATCTGAACATTGACCATACTTATGTAACTCCAAATTTTTTGAAACAATAGGAAAACATGGGCAATTTGTATATCAATCACGTGTAAAAAAGTCAAAAAAATTTGTCGCTCCAGTGATGTTTAAAAATTCTGCTACTGGACGTAAAACTTTTTGTTTTTGCACAGAATCAAATCAACAATTAACCAAATCATCCAAAGGCTTTACTTGGTACAAACACTAATTAAAACAATAAAACACAATCATAACAGTAGCATAATTATCTTCTTATTGAAAAATAGCTAGGAAACAATTTTTTTTAAAAGATAACGGGTTACCTCTCAACAAGCGCTATTGTTTTATGCCCCTAGCTAGGCATAATGTATAGTTTCAAGTGTTGTCATATTTAGTTTTACTCCATAGGTGGCCCTCATGATTGACTCATATGGTGGCTTAATTCTAGTTCTAGGGAAGTGTTCCATGCCCTTATTTAATGGAAACTAAAATTTAATATTCCCTTCTTTCATGTCAATGACGACACCTATAGTTCGTAAAAACGTGCTACCAAGTATTAGGGGACAAGACAGATTGCAATCAATATCAAGAACAACAAAATTATTGGGGAACGCAATAATTTCAAAAATTTCCTGCACACACGCAAGATCATGGTGATGCATAGCAATGAGCGGGAGAGTGTTGTCCACGTACCCTCATAGACCATAAGAGAAAGCGTTATGACAATGCGGTTTATGTAGTCGTACGTCTTCACGATCCGACCGATCCTAGTACCGAAAGTATGGCACCTCCGCGATCTGCACACGTTCGGCTCGGTGACGTCCCACGAACTCACGATCCAGCAGAGTGTTGAGGGAGAGCTTCGTCAGCACGACGGCGTGATGACGGCGATGATGAAGCTACCGGCACAAGGCTTTGCCTAAGCACTGCAATGATATGATTGAGGTGGATTATGGTGGAGGGGGCACCGCACACGGCTAAGAGATCAATGGTCAACTTGTGTGTCTATGGGTTGCCCCCTCCTCCGTATATAAAGGAGTGGAGGAGGGGGAAGGCGGGCCCTCCTATGGTGCGCCCCATGGGGAGTCCTACTCCCACCGGGAGTAGGATTCCCCCCTTCCCTCGTTGGACTAGGAGTGGAAGGAAGGGGGAGAGAGGGGGAAGGAAAGGGGGGCTGCCCCCCACCCAATTCGGATTGGGCTTGAG